GGGGGGGTTTTTCCCCCCCCCCCCCCCCCCCCAAGTGCATCTTCCTTCCTGGATTTAACTTGCAGCCGAAGCTAGAAAAAGTCGGATGAAAAAAGTAGGAAGTTGAACTTTCCCAAATCCGCTGGTATCGAGTTTCATGAGCTCGGCGTGTCGAAATCAAGTTTAAAATACGAGGTATATTGGCAACTTCCTTTTGCCAGCGAGTGTGTAGGTTTATGAAACGTGGGGGTTACGTGACCGTAACTGCATCGGGGGAAGCAAAGGTCGCTAAAAATAATTTCTTCATTTGAGGGCAGGGGGAGGGGGAAGCAAAACGAATTTTTTTTACTCCCCTCCCCCACTTCCCCCCCCCCACCCCTCTCATCATTCTGGTCCAGTTGAGGCCGCGGGGGTTCGCTAAGAGAACGGAGGAATGTTTTCTGGATCTGTCCCATATATCGCGTGGGGCATAAGCAAGCTTTCACCCCCTCCACCCCTTGCCCCCCTGCGTGTGCTCCTATGTAAGAGAGAAAACAAGACAAGGATCTTTTCAATGGTCTAAGCCTTCGCGATACCATCAGTCTCGCTGACACGGAAAGGAGGAGAAGGAGGTCCGACTCCATCCACCCACGCCCTCACGCCCCCACGCGACCTTCCCCGTTCCTCCCCGTCGCTCCTCCGCGCAGGGACACGGGGCTGCATCGGTTTCCCGCTGATCTGAACTCCGAAGCAGCCAGTCGCCATCCGGCTCCACGAAACCTGAGGAGCAGAGGCCGAAAACGAGGGCGGTTTGCAAGCAAAATACCGTGCTAAAATACGTTTCTTCGTTCGTCCTGTTTCCTCCGTGTCTAGTTTTCAAACGAATCGGCCGGATATTTTTTTCCTGCCGAGCGGACCGACAATGTAAGGTGAGACAGTACTTTAGACAGTGCCTTAGGCATCTACATGATGGCAACGTTGTTTGCTTGCTCAGGGAAATGACTCATTCACTCACTCGAACGGCGAAAAATTCCGCGAAAGCCACCGGATGCAGAAGAACCGCGATACGCAACTGCTACTTGCGCCGGGAGAACCGCGATCTAGCGAGAAAGGAATCGCCCTACGAAAAGTTCAGCTATTTTTTTAACGCTGCAGGTTCATCGTCGAACCAGAGAAGCGGCACCCTGACCGATTCCCGCGACGGATCAGAATGAAAGGGACTTTAAAGGACGATCGGGACTCGGCCTCGCCGCCATTGTCCGGATCAAAGGGAAGTTAGAGCGTGACATCCCTCCATCTTTTTGCCATTATCGCGCCCAATTCGCGACTTTTTGGCACGTGGCGAGTCGGTTCGCGTCTTTCCGGCCATCACGCGCTTCCGGGCGGGAGCCGACAACGCTCTCCGGATCCGGACAGGATCCGGAGACAGGGTTGCCAGAGCGCCGTTCCGTTCGAGTCCGGCCTCGAAATGGAAGTCGAGCCGGGAACCCCGTCGAGCGACGCCTTCGCCTGGAAATTCTTTAAATTCTTGATGGATTTGAAGATAGGTCGAACGACACCCCTCAAGGACACCCCTCCGGGACACCCTTTAGGGACACCCCTCCGGGACACCCCTCGGGGACACCTCTCAGTCCGAGAAGCGTCCACACGCGGACAATCGTGACGGGATCGACCGCATGCGGATGGCTCCATCCCTTCGAGCCGAAAGGCTTCATCGATCGGCCAACATCGTTTGAGCCTAGAAGGCCCTAGAAGGCCCTAATCATCGAAACTCGAATCGAAACCAAGGTTTGATGACTGCAAAACGGAATCCAGGCGAAAAATCCCTGAAAGGCTTGGGAGCCATCGGAGACGCTGCAGGGCTGTCACGGGTCGTGACAGCCCTGTCACGAGCGATCATCTCCATCCTCGCCGAATCGCTTAACCGCCGCGAGTCTCGAATCCCGCCGAATCGCGGAACGCCGACGACCTCGACCCAAACCACCGTCAGATTTAGATTCGATCGCGAATCGGGATCCGGCTCGGATCAGACCCATTTTCCTCCCTCGCTCCCGCCTTTTCTTCGGTACAAAAGCGCTCCGTGATGATCCCCCCTTTGGAGCCTGAAATCCCAGGGATCCTCCATTGTGGACGAGAACCCCCTCGTGCCATCTGGATTCCTCTCGGGGAGGAATCCACGAGATTCCTCTCCCTTCTCTCACCGGCTCCCTCGCGTCTCGTCCCGTTGCGGAAAGGGATGACGGGCGCGGAAAGGGATGACGGGCACGGAGAGGAAAACGAAGCTCGTCTTCGCTTCAGCCGGATTTGAACCTTGCGGCCGCTCCCACGACCTCGTCGACACGATCCAGACTATGACGACCGTCGTGTTGCCCCGAGCAACACGACCCGGATCCAACCGGGCCAACCTCCTCTTGGACCGGGCCAACCTCCTCTCGGATCGGGCCAACATCGCCGTGGTTCCTGTGGTTTCAAACGCCCATGAGTGAAAAATAATTTGCAGAAAAATTCACGCTTCACGAATTAACATATTTGTGGGGGGAACCATTTCCAAGGTTTCCGCTTTCTAGATTCTTGTTCCTTAGGGGAATGTCAAAGGAAATGATCCTAGAGAAAAATGACCTCGTAAAACGTGCACTATTTCCAGTCGCGCGCCATTAGGATAAACCAGCGGTAAACCCATAGAACGCTCACGGTTTCTCGACCGAGCCCCATCATCCATTATGCAGCACGTAGGGGGACACGCACGCGCGATCGCACGCACGCACGCACGCGAGCGTGGCGTATCCGATAAGTTCTTCGAAAGGTGGAAAGAATTTCGTTCTTTCGCCGGTCGAGTGGAGTCGCCGAGAGCGCCATCTGGCACTAGTTAGACTCATCTGAATTCTGTCGAATGCGGGAAGAAAATAGCGCCGACAGGAAAGAAGCGGATAGACGAGACGTTCGAAACCGGTGCAGAGTAAGAATCGCGTGGGTTCGTTCCCCCAAATGCAAGGACAGACGAGAATCTCCAGCAAGGCTATCAGGAATCGAGAAGCACGTCCACTCGGCACATTCAGTGCACCAGTGCAGTCTGCACCGGTGCAGCGTGCCTGCCGGTTGTTCCAAAGAGAGAAATGAGGTGAAGGTCCACGGTGAGATGCAGGACGAAGGACCTTCGAGGACTTCATGGACCTTCGAGGACTTCATGGATCTTCAACGTTGAAGAATCGCTAACTTCTCTTCACGTGTTCAACAATGAACTTCGCCTGATTGAATTTCTTGCCTTCTGCGGCCTTCAGTTTCCGAAAGATTCACATGTTCTTGTTACTTATCGTCACCGAGAAAGTTCGGAGGCACGGGCGAACCGGGAGCGCCTCGGAGGAAGGGACGAATCGCTGGGACGCAGTTGCGACGCGCGCGACACCTGGTCGATGCGAGTCGAGATGGAAGACAAGTGTACTTTCAAACTTTCCCTTTTCTCGCTTCTGACGAGCCTACCGAGTCAAACTTCACGAAGGCTTTTAGGCATCAGAGCTCCTATGTGCTAAACTTGACTTTCTGAAGCACATAATAAATTTTTTTTTTATATTTTAATTTTGAAACTCTCATGGAAGGAAAAAGTTCGTGCTTCTCTCCGCTTCAAATATTCCATAAATGAAATATTATTCTGATTCTGTCATGTATTATTGACATGTTTGTTGCGTTGCTTTTAATTTAGGCTTATATTCGTTTGTCATCAACTGTCACTTCTCTGGAATCCTGTGCACATGGTAACACTGATGAATCTGCCACAAGTGATGAGGCTTGTGGCGGACCTAGGTCTAGGATTCGAGTGTTCAATGATTTTTATTCATTTGATTCAGAGCGAAGGCGTGGGAAGAACGGCATCTCTGTGGCGTCGAGGGATTCGAATTCCGATATCATCCTGGACTCGAGAAATTGCATGTGCAATTCGTTTGAAACGATGGAATTGCAGACCAGCAGGCCAAGCCCGTGTTTGAAATTCCGAAATAAACGCGAAACTGGGGCGTGGAAACCATTCGGCGATGGCGGACCGAAGAAACCAAAGAAGAAAATCTCGTTTCATGGAGAGCCTGGAGCGAAGAATGTCGAACGTCGTTGGGTGCTTCGCCAGCCGAATGATGCTCAGAAACAAGGCATCAAATTTGGTGCAAAAATTTGTCGATCTCGCTCCAGATGAATTTCAGCGAGTTGGAAACACTTGCCGATTTCGAAAAGCGTCCACCAAATCCAGAGAAGGCACTCTCGCGTTCGAGCGCATCTTGCCTCAATGAAGCTCTCGTGGCAGCAGTGGAAACTGGAGAAATAATTGCATCCTGATGCGAATTTGGTTGTTCGCACACAGACTACCAGGCGGTTGTGAGTGAAACACAAATCACTAGGGTAAGATGGTCCCAACGTGAAAGCAAGTTTACATGGTTTCGGTTACCTGGCAATTAAGGAGGTGTAAAATGGGCCTTCCTTGGTACTGCGAAGTTAGCCCTCGTCCCCCCCCCCCTTAGGCGTTCGTGGGCAGTTGCATCTGGCCACAGTGCTGCCAGATACGTAGACTTCTTGGCCAGGTCTGGCGTCCGACAGCTGCGACTTTTTGCGTAATTGCTCAAGAGGCATGCGCTGAGAAGATATAATTATCATCTTCATTCTCTGATGACACTTCATTTTGGCTCGGTTTCTTGGCGATCGTGCTCCTCGCCTGCGGGTGAATATGGTGCATTGAAATTCAAGCAACTAAATCTTGCTCTTTCGAGTGACTGCACTGAAATGAAGCAAGAAATGATTGGCATGCGTGCAACCATAATTGCAAAAATTACCATGTGCTCAGGTTCATCCAAAGTCGAAAAGGAAATTAGACATCTAAAATAAATCAATAGGAATATTAATGCAACAAATAACGCTTTCATGCATCAAGGAGCAAATGGATTGTTAAATTCACATATCATCGGCAACATTTGCGATTCCCCGCTTCCCCACTCCAAGAAACAAAAGTCATTTAATGGAACAAGTGGAGATCGCCCCATAAATCTGGGCGAACAACTCATTCTTTGAATAATAATAAAAATGGCAGGAAAAGGAATGAATCACATCAGAAGATTCCAGGATTTAATTCGCATTCACGTCTCATCAAAATTCAAATAATACAGAGATTAGGGCGGCTCCTTTGGTGAAGGGAATCAAATGAGGGAGAATTTTCCACCTTACTTCTCGGCGGTGGGGTCGGTTCCGGTGTACGGCGAATATTATCAACACTTTCAACGCACTTTCGACGATTCGTTGTCGGCCGTCGCGACGGGGACTGGGTTCCGGAGTTGCACTTCCTCCCCCGAGGCAACGTCGATGAACTGATGCAGCTGCTCGTCAGCTGTGCGGTCGAGGAGGACTTCCCTCGCGTCTGTGTTGGCCTTCAGCAGGCAGGATTCTTTGGAATCGTGCGCGTTCTCTTGCTCTTCGATGCACCAGATTTCGAATTCGTCCGTGTCGGCGAAGGCGAGGGGCTTCTCTGGGACCCGGCCCGCTTTGAAGTGGACCTTCACATGGTCCCGGACGAAGCTGGCCTGTTGGGACCAGTAGTTGCAATAGGGGCAGAAGAAGATGCCTGTCTGCGCCGTTGGCACCTCGTGCCTCCCGGAGTGGTTCTTCAAGTGGTCCCGCTTCGCGGAGGAATAGGGGCAGGAGGGGCAAGAATAGAAGCGGGGCTCTTCGCAGCTGCGCACGGTGGTGGTGGCTTTCGGACCCGCGGACGCCTCTACTTTCCCCTTCTCCTTGGCGTCTCCCGAGATAGATGACCTTGGCTCGCTCAGGGTCGAGACGGAATAGACCGTCTTGTGACTCTCGTTCGGGGCTTTCGTCTCCGTTTTCTTGATCACGATCTTGGGAGTCACCTCCAAGGCGGCTGCGAGTCCTGAGGCTTGGAATGGGGATTCGTCAGTACGCGGAGAGGATTTGTAGACATTGGAGTAACTGTCGTTCATCTGTTCCTGGATTTCCACGGCTCTGGCGTCCCCAGACTCCGCATGCTTCCTGAGATGCTGGGCGTAGTGATTGAACTGCTTCACGGCGTAGTCGCAGAGCTGGCACTTGTAGCGACATCTGGCGCCGTGAAGCCTGGCGTGGATCTTGAACTTCTCCTTCTTCTGGATCACCGTCGGGCACTTTGGGCACGTGTAGAACCGCTTGATCCGGTGCCCCACGTGGATCTTGTCGGGGAAGATGAGGTCCTCGTTGAAGAGCACGGCGTCCGTGCCGTTGGGGTCGTCCTCGACCACCGTCGGGCTGGACTCGTCGTCCACCTCCTCCCCATCACCCTCGTTCCGCTGGCTCTCCATCTTCTGGAGTTTCTCCATCAGCCCGATACCGGACATGGGGACGTCATCGTCGTCCTCCTCCGCCTGCTCCATGGTATCCAAGCCCCAGAGTCCCGGCAGGTTTTCCTCCTTCAACACCCTCCTCCGTTTCTTGAACTTCTTCCGGACGTCGAGGCCGTGATGAAGCCCCTGGTGCTTGGCAAGGTGATTCCGCGTGGAGACGGCATAGTCGCACAGGTCGCATTTGTGTGGATATTTGGAGCCGTGCAGGGCGATGTGTCTATTCAGGGTCGTTCTCTTTGAGAATTTCCCGGGGCAATGAGGACAGCCGAGAATCTTCTCTCCAGACGGGGAATTCTTGATGATGCTCTTCTGAAGCTTCGTCTGATAGTCGTTCTCATGGGCGGCGTCGAATTTCGCGTCTTCCTGGTAGAATTTGGATATGGGGAAATCCGGAGAGAAGGGGCAGTATTGTATCTCTCGCAGAGTCCGTTCCCGATATTCCGAGGTATGGACTTTGGCATGGGCAAGCAGATGAGTCTTCTGCTGTGCCGCATAGTCACACAACTCACACGGATAGGGCAGCGCGGCGCCGTGGAACTTGACGTGGACGTTGATCTCCTTGGCGCCCTTGAACCGGGCCGGGCACATGCTGCAGAAATGCATGAGAAAGCTCCCCTCTCGACGGGGTCTGGGGGGACCTTTCTGCTGGGATTCCCCAGGGGCTTGGCTCTGCATCGTCCTGGACTTGCTCATCTGGTGCATCTTCAAGTGCACGGACAAGACCCCGTAGTTCCCGCAGGTGTAGTTGCAGATCCGGCACCGGAAGACCTCTCCTTTTAGGTCTCTGGCGCCGTGCATGCGCTCGTGCTCCACGATGTTGCTCCTTCGCATGTTCACGTGAGGGCAGTGTCTGCATTTGAACATCTTACAGAACTGGTCGCCTTTGCATACCCAGACTTGGGGAATGTCCCCATCCACGCTCTCGTTTTGGGTTCCCGCGCTCGCAGTTTTGTCCTCGTCTCCTTGGTGTTCGTGGAGTTGGGACATGTGCTGCGACAGAAGTCGTTCGTTGTCAGTGTTGAAGGAGCAGTACATGCACTTCCGAGTCGACAGCCCGGGCTTGTGATACTGGCGATGATAATAATACTGGGATTTGGTCGTGGCTGTATACGGGCACTCGGGGCAGTGCCAAGCCCTGATGGCATCACTGGAACCCCCTTCCTTCCCCCCTTCTCCTTCACTGTCCTCGTACTCCTTCACTTCCACCATGTCCACATCTTCCCTCAGGGGGGAGTCCCCATCACCAGCGAACAGTTGGGGGCTGTCGATCCCATGCAGCTTCATGTGATGGTGCAGGGCCCTTTGTTTGGATACGTAAAATGGACACATGGGGCACTTAAAGTCGGCGTGAGGGCGTTTTCTGTGCTGGATAGAATGAGCTTTCATGTCACCTCGACGGGGGCAGGAATACGGGCATAGACGGCATTGATATTTTCTCTCTTCGGGCAAATAGTCCGTGTTTTCAACCACGTCTGAACCCAGTGGGAGCTGATCCATCGAGTCCTGGTCAGATGCAAACAACTGAGAGAGATCGGATCCTATGTCCTCGTTCATGCTTCTGTCATTCCCACCGTCCAAATCACGACTGTCTTCCAGATGGGTCCGAAGGTGTCCTTTCATCGCGTTCCGATCCAGAGTTGTAAATTTACAACGACTACATTTCATGGCCCCTTGAATTTGTGCCAAATTGGGCCTTTTGAGGGTGGGCCCGTCACCTTGGTGCTGCGAGTCCCCGGCTCGCTTCTGAGACGGTCTGGGAGGCTCTCGCTCATCCTTCACAGTCACGTATTGACTGGCTCCGATGAATGTCTGCGAAGTGGCGCCAGCGTTCGACGTGGTCGGGGTGGAGACAAGGAAGAACTGGGGCGCCGATGACACATGGACGCCGTCTGGATTGGCTTGTGTCTGCATACGGAACAGAGGGAATTTGAGGGGGAGGGGAGGCTTCTTGGGGCCCTCGCCCTTCTTCAGCAGAGGAGGCATGCTTGACATCCTGTTCCCGCCGCTCGGTCCCACTTGGGTCCTTATACTCCCTTTCAGTAAGGGTGGTAATGTTCCCTTCGGGGTGGATATTAACGTAGATCTCTCGTCCTCGTGTCCGTGCTTCTTTCCGGTATCTTTGATGTCCATCACCGCCATGTACTTCCCATACTTCTCGTAGTTCTTATTCCCGGAATCGTGGGTGATGTACACTTTGGCATTCCTGTGCTCAGGATCTCGCTCAGATTTCAGCTTGATATGCTTCTTGACATCCCAATTCCAGTTTGACCTGTACTTGCAAAGAGAGCATTCGAAGGGTTTCTGATTCAAGTGTCCAACATAGTGGATGTGGAATTTTGAGGCCATTTGCGCCCAGAAAGAGCAGAAAGGGCATTTGTACACCCGGCGAAGGCTGGTCGCCTCATGCCGCTGAGTCGGAATTTCTATGACCCGAACAGGGGTGTCCGACGAAGCGAAGGAAGTGCCCGGACCCTCACTGAGCCGAGACCAGAGGATCGTCTTCCGGCCGTCCACCGTCTCGTCCTGGGGATGGACGTCCATCCCTTCGCAGACCTTCTTCTTCTCTTCGCACTCTTGTTCGTGGTTGATGAGATCCAGTTCTGTTTTGCATCGCCTCCGGCAGTACTGACAGCGGGTGCCTCTCCGGACGCTGGACTGGTTTCCGGCCGACAGGGAATGCAACTTCTTGTGTCTCAGGGCTTCAGAGAGGCAGCGGGATTCGTGGCCACACGTCTTGCAAATCCGGTCCACTTCCTGCAGCTGGGAAAACTCGTCCAAAAAATCCCTGTCTTCGCCGTGTTTGCCACCTTGGGAATCTTTCCCATTCTGAACAGCCATCTCTTCTTCCATATCTTCCACTGGAATCACATCGTCATCGAAGTTGGAACCTATGGGGTCGTTCTGTCCTGACCCACCGGTTTCCTCTTTCTGCTTTCCAGTGACGAGAGGGATGAGAGGGGGTAGGGGCTTTGGGGATTTCCGTTTCGCGGATAAGCTTTCATGAGTCAGTCCTGTCTCCATATCATCGAGATCTTCAACTGGTGGAGGCGGAGCGAGGAGCACTTCGTTTTCCAGATTCTCCAGGAGATCTGTCGTCAAAGCTTCCAAATCTTCATCTCGGGTATATGCTTCCCTCTGTTTCTGTCCCTCGTTCCCACCCAACAGCTCATTCTCGAAGTGCCTCTTCATGTGCTTCGTGAAGAGGCTCTTATTCCTCGTCACATACGGGCACTCGGAGCAGTTATACGTTTTCGAGGTCTCCTCCATTCTGGGCCTGACAGATGGCGTCGAAGATGCCTTTGTAAGAGAAACACCAAGTCGCTTGAGTTCCTTCACCTGTTCTATCACCTGATGAGCAAGTTTGACGTCAGACTCCTTGCTCTCTGCTTTGTGAACCATCCGGATGTGACGACCCAACTTTTGGCTGTACTTGGACGCGTACAGACAATAGGGGCACTCGTAAATTTGGATGCGACAGAAGTGGACGTCCCGCAGGTGAACGAGATGATCCCGGGGATTTTGAGTTGCAAAGCTACACTGGTTGCAAAAATACTTCCGCACAAAGGGGAGGTGTCGAAAGTTGTGCAACAAGGAGGATTCTAGGCCAGAATATTCTCCAACTTCCACATTATCCATATCCTTTCAACAGTTCTTCTCCATGTGTCTTTCCTCTTCCTTGTCAATGAACCACGCCATTCCTGGAAACTCCAGGGGTACCACTGCTGCAAAAGCAAATTCAAGCAAACTGTAACACATTTGGAATCAAATGGAACCACTATCCTACCCTAAAATTGAGATAAAGCTCTGATCTTGCTTTCATACAAGAAGCACACCTCCACTCACAAGTATCTTGTCATTATGGTTGTGGCAAAGTCTGTGGCAATCAAACAATTGGAAACCAGTGGACTTGTCATCAGGATAACTTAGGCATAGGCCTATGGTTGACATGATATTGATACAGGAAAACTAAGAAGACACATCTGCCCTAAATTTAATATTAGAAACAGTTTCACATGTCACATACCCCATTTCCCAAGATGGGAAGCAAGTGACAAGTGAAACATCTTGTGCCAAGATGTAGGAGTTTAGAACTTCAATCTCTCGTATTCAGTATGAAAGTGAAGATCGTTGGAAGAGAAAAACAAAAGTAACTGCCAAGATCTACAACTAAATAAGGCCCCAGGTCAGGGTATCCCAGGGAAAAATGCAGCTCCACCCTTGGCTACTTCTGGATGAGAAAGCTAAGTGGGCTATTTGGGCAGATAATCTCTCGCAGAGGATGACATTCCCTCCCATAAGCCATCTTCAGCCAGACACCAAAGTGTGCATTTGACTTTTGCTGCAGCATTCAACCATAGGAGTTACTGTTGCAATAGAGGATGTGCTGTTGCAGGTTAGACCACTATATCACAATATATGTACTAGAAGCTCCCCACCTTGTAGCTCCTGATAACACTCCTGGCTATATCAGGAATATCCCTTCCCTCCCTCCTGAACATGCCACACAGTAGGCCTACAAGTGAATTCAGAATGGCTTAGTACTTTTGAGTTGGATTTATAGTAATAAAAAAATTATTAAGGCAGAAACAAGAGATCTACAGAAGCAATCCAGGCTGATAGAGCTGGTATTGGCAGTCATCAATTTCATATACGATATGCAGTGGTAAAAATTCCACTGTAAAAATACCATGATGACATCATGCTATGTCATTGCATTGCAAAAACACTGATACCCATAAAAGGTGCTGTACTGCAGTACCCATAGGTCTACCAAGTGACTCACAATAATGCACCTCAGATTGAGTGCTTATCTCTGTATGTTTCCTGTATATTTTCAAGGAGACCGGCCATCAGCCATGTTCAGGTATACATTTGCCTCTGCTCAACCTTGAGTAACAAAGTAGATGCTGTGAGTCTGCAACAGCTTCATCTTTGCCCTCATGCAGAACTGACCATCTGATGAATCATCAGATAAACCACTGATTCAACCCAAAGAAGTCCTTCCTATTTAATGAAGGAAAAGTAGACCATAAACCACCACTATTCCCTAAGAAATACCCTGTTTTACAAAATGTAGGGAGGTGTTCCTTGTTTCAGTTGCTTCAAAGCTGATTTTGAGGTTGGTGGGCAGTGATCAAAGACCATTTGGTCATGGGTATCCACTAACTGAAGTGAGAATATTTTTACTTCACTTTCTCAACACCATGGATGTGATCCTTCGAAACATCAATCACAAAGGGTTATAAGATATTTTACTGATAACCTTATGCTGGAATTCCCTCATCCCTATGACTGAAACATCTTAGACATATGATTCTGACATCACTGAAGCCACAATTCTTATCAGCAAATAGCCACTTCCCCATGAGTATATTTCCTTCCCTTCATTTTCCTTATCCTCATAGGTATTTACCATATGACTGTTGCAGTTGAGGTATTAATAAGGTCTATTCTCCTATTAAGTATGAAATATTCACTAACTTGTGTCATAAATTAGCAATCTGAGCATGATTTGGTTCTGGGCATATTGAGTTCAGGATAGATTCTTGCATACCTTGCACTTTTCTTTGGTATGTCAATCAATTTTCAAGTGAGCATACTGCATGTGAGCACCATTCTCTCTATATACTTGTGAACCCTTCAGAAACTTTCACATTCAAGCTAAGAGAATGTGTCTATGAGACCATAGTTATCGCCAGGGTGGAATTATGATATTCATGGCAAGGGAATGAGAGGAGTTCATCAAGAGACATAAAGTTATGGAAGTTTGGATGGTAAAAAGGGTTTTTATGATCATGTTTAAATATGAAAAGAAAAATAATAAATGCACTACTGCATGCATAGATGCAAATTAGGAACAAAGGAAGGTCAAATTGTTAGCCATCATATTAATCAAAACTGTCCATCATTACAAAGAGGTTCTGCTCATGAATGAGTTGCCAGTACCCTTCTGCAACATTTTCCATCAGTCTCATTATGACACAATGATGGAAATGGGAGAAAATATAGATGCATACATGCTAGGTCGTGGTGGACCTGCCAATCTGAATACGACTTACCTCCCTCTATCCATGCTAGTACTTCTGCATGCCAATGTCTCAATACTAAAGTGATAGAAGGCATACAGGCCCAGAATTGACTCTATACACAGCAGAAGGAATAGGACTGGCAAACAACAGATCTCTATCTTTCCATGTCTGATCACATGGGCAGAGTTTACAAACATAAAAAATAACATGAACACCTGAGCAAATCTGGTCACTTGGAGGCCATTTCCTTGTGAGTTACAGATTAGTCTCATTTGCATCTGCCCTGGGATCTACTGGGATCCAAGAAAGCCTGCACAATGTGGCTATAATCATCCCCAGTCACATGACATGCAAATAAACTGTGGATGCAAGCAAGCTAATAAGCAGGCTAATAATTGCCCCTCATGCCTTTACCCTGGACACTTGCCTGCAAGATGAGTTCCCTTTTCCACCCATCTCAGTTTACCCCACTATAAATAAAGAGGCATCTGGATGACACAATTTGTGAATCAACAATCAACTCAAAGTTGCCTTTAGAATCCATTCAGAATAGAAATTTGGAATTGGAAAAGAAAATTTCTTCACTTTTTGGCTCATTTGATGACATCAAGTTGATGCACACCAATGACCAATCAAGGCCTATGCCTTTTCTAAAACCAACAAGCTGAGGGATGTAACCACTGGCATGTGCCAATGCCCCCCCAACCCCCCCCCACACCCACCGAAGTTCAAAGTCTGTCATAAGCCTGCCAATCCCCAGGCTTAGGCCACTATTGATGGAAAACGGCAACGGCTGACAACGCCAGAAACCAAACCAGAAACTAAAGATCGCAAGTTAGGGGCCTATACTTAACTGCCATTCATTTTCGAGCAGCATAACATTGTAACTTTCACCTTCTGCATCCTCGCTGCAAGAAATGGCTACTGTTGGAAATGACGTCCTTCTTCGGGGTCAGGGCATTCACTCTTTCCCCCGAGCCCCGCGTGTCCAGTTCCGCGGTGAAAGTCGGACATCACTCTCAGCAGTGCTGCCAGGCGTCAAACGTCTTAATGCAACATGCTGATAGGAAAATTCTGGGAAATCTCTGACGGAGATGTGTCGCATCCAGCTAACTACGGGATTCAGATAATATTATCTACTTCCCCTGACAAAGTGCGCGGAATTTACCTTGAGATTACGCTCGGGAAAGCGAGCTGTTTATTTTCACGGGCCAGGGCGGAATGCTCTCTTGACCATTTTTCAGGCTTGCGTGTTACGCAAGTAATATCGGTCTTATTTGCGACGGGAAAAGCTCGGGAGCTTGGACTCCTTTGTTTTGTTGGGGAAGGTCAAAAGCCACGTCCCACGGGCTCCATCAATCCTCCACGAGGTCACCCAACGAACAAAACCGACTGCGTTGGATCGGTCGACCGGCGGATCGAATGATCAATGAAGGATGCTGAGCGAGAGGATCGGTTCCCAGGCTTCGCCACCGATCGGACCCGTCCTTCATCAATCGGGCTCGCAGTGTTGCGTAGCAGCCAGTGGCGGAGCCAGAATCTCGTCGAGGGGGGGGTTACCACAATCTGCCACTAAACGAACACGAAAGCTTTAAGCTTTCGGTCAAACCCAAAATATATAAGCCAAAGGGTGCGAACATATTATTTAAACTCAATTTATTTCTCCAAATAAGCAGACTTCTCTCGCTTCCAGGCAAATACCTGCAGAACGCACGTGACGTCGCTCGGGGTAACTATACGCTCGGTGCTCGTGCACGAATGTCATGCCTCCTCCATATACCTACTGAAGGGACCAAGAGAGGCTAATGAAGGGGCCCCGCCCCACTGCTCTCCACCGGTGGGAGCTCTCAAGGTCATTCACCTCCGTGTTCCCAGCCCGTGAGGGAACTCGGATGGGAACTCGGGCGAATTCCCCATCCGTTTCCGCCAGCCACTGCGGTGGCCTCGCAGGGGTCGGCCGCACCGACCGCAGATGACGTCACGCGCTCGATCGAGTGTCGGTCGGTCGTCCGATCTCACCTTCGTGCACCCGAGTGGAAGCGAAAAGCTTGCGAACTTTTCCTCGAAGCCTATTTGTCGAGGTTTAGCAACGTAAAATTGGCCAAGACACACAATCGATTGCGCCTTGAAGTGAAATTGGCCTTCTGATGGGCCATCTGGCATCAAGTCTGCATGCTTCCCAGGAAGCCACAATAGCCAAGTAGAACTGAATCAAGGAGGAAGCTTTACTGTAGGCTTTCTGGATGGCAGCGTTGGGCACGGCACGCACTTTGAGGCCTTCGTACTGAAGGCCATAGGGGGCCTTAGGACGGAAGAAGGCCATTGTCATCAGTCACATTAATGGGATGTCACTTAGTGTGTGTTGGGATGCGGCACCTTTCCGGTAAGAGATCTGGATTTGGGGGAAAAAAAAAAACGCGCGTTTTTGGAGGATCTCCTGGTCGAGATCGCCCGCGCACTCGACGGTGCTTAACCAGCTGCTTCGTACGTGCGCTGGTTGAAAATTTGCACAAGCCCCCAGCTTGTGCAAATTTTCAACCGGCTGAGCTCCTACGTCGGTTGCCGCTCGCTTATTCTGCTTGAAACGGATTTTACCCGATGAAAATC